AAAGAAGAGGAGCAGACGTTGGCTCAGACCACTACCTCGTACAAGGAACAATCCAACTCAAATTAAAAGCTTTCAGAGAATCAGGAGCTGCAGATAGACCACAAGCCAAGTTCAACACTCAAAAACTAAAGGACCAGGATACAAAGGATATCTTTACTGCAAGTATAAAGGACAAAGCTGAGACACAAATCAACATTAGCGAAGAGGTCAGCGTCGAAAAACACTGGGACAACCTGAAAACAGTATTGAGCGAAACCTGCATGGAAGTTCTGGGCAGAAAGAAGAGGCAGGACAAACCGTGGCTCACTACGGACACTTGGAGGCTAATAGAAGAGAGAAGGATGGTGAAACAAAAGATTCTCCAGTGCACCGACGAGCAACAGAAACAGGAGTTGAATGCAAGCTACAATACACTGAACAAAGGAGTAAAGAAGAGTGCCAGAGAAGACAAAAGAAAGTATTATGAAGCCATGGCCAATGAAGCAGAACAAGCAGCAGGCAAAGGAGACCTCGCAACACTCTACCAAACAACTAGGTACCTCTCAGGCAAAAACTCGTCACAAATTAAGCCAGTGAAGGATGAAAATGGAAAGTCAATCACCAAAGAAGTGGAGCAAAGGAAACACTGGGCTGAACACTTCAAAAGACTACTAAACCGACCGCCACCTACAACGCGCCCAACAATACCAACAACGGAAGCAGAATTACCAGTGAACATCAACCCCCCGACGAAAACAGAAGTCCTGAAGGCAATCAAGATGCTGAAAGCTGGAAAAGCAGCAGGACCAGATGGAATCCCAGCAGAAGCATTGAAAGTGGACCCAGAGACAACAGCAGACTTGATGACGCCACTACTGGAGAAGGTGTGGAAAGAAGGCAAAGTACCTGAGGATTGGAAGAAAGGATACCTATTCAAACTACCAAAGAAAGGAGACCTAAGTCAATGCAAGAACTGGCGCGGAATTATGCTCCTGTCCATCCCAAGCAAAATACTAAGCCGCATCATCCTGGAAAGGATCAAACAAGCCCTGGATGAAAAACTTCGACCAGAACAAGCTGGATTCAGGAGAAACAAGTCATGTATTGATCAAATCGCCACACTACGGATCATCATTGAACAAAGTTTGGAATGGCAGTCACCTCTCTATCTCAACTTCATCGACTTTGAAAAGGCCTTCGACAGCGTCGATCGAGAGGTGATTTGGAAACTACTTCGCTACTACGGGGTGCCACTGACAATTATACATCTCATCCAACAGTTGTATGACAACGCTGCATGCCAAGTAATCCACAACGGGAAGCTCACGGAATCCTTCGAAGTGAGGACAGGAGTAAGACAAGCTGGCTGCCTACTATCGCCAATGATTTTTCTGATTGCAGTAGATTGGATAATGCGACAAACAGCGGGCAATGAGGAAACAGGCATAAAATGGACTCACACAAAATACTTGGAGGATCTGCACTTCGCCGATGATATATGTCTGATTTCCCACAAACTGGAAGATATGCAAGTGAAAAGTAACAAGTTGGCAGAAGAAGCATCAAAGATAGGACTCCAGGTGAACATAGAGAAAACGGAGGTGATGAAGATCCCTGGCCAACACCAACAACAACAACAGACAACAATCAGCATAAATGGAAAGAACCTGAAAGAAACTACCTCCTTTACCTACTTGGGAAGCATTGTTTCAACTACAGGCGGAACTGACGAGGATATCAAAGCAAGGATCGGGAAAGCAAGGCAAGCTTTCATTACTCTCAAGTCTGTGTGGAGGTCAACAGCACTCAGCATGAAAATGAGAATAAGATCCGGATTTTCAACTCCAATGTGAAGTCAGTACTACTATACGGATCAGAGACTTGGCGTGTCACAAAAAGCACCTCAAACAAGCTACAGACCTTCATTAACAGATGTCTTCGCTCAATACTCAAGATCAGATGGCCGGAAAGGATCAGCAACAAAGATCTCTGGGAGCGAACCAACACAGCAGGAACCGATTGTGAAACAAATAGGCAGGAAGAAATGGAGATGGATTGGCCACACTCTGAGGAAACCATCAAGTGACATCACTAGACAAGCCATTGCTCGAGTGGAACCCAAAAGGAAAGCGGCGAGTTGGTCGTCAGTGCAAGGGTGACTTGGAGGAGGTCATGTGAAGAGGAGATGAAAGCGTGTGGGCAGACCTGGAGCCAGGTGAAAACTCTAGCAGAGAACCGAACGCAATGGAGACGCATGGCTGAAGCCCTATGTTCCTCTAGGAACTAAAGGAAATGATAATAATTCTTTCTGATAGGTCACCACCTGATCTTCAGTATGGAACCAGAGAAGTCAGCTATCGATTAAAATGTCTGAAACCTGTTGGAAATGCTTTTTGTGACGCCTTCACCAAGTTTCTGACCCATATAGAAGAACTGACTGCCTTGTGTTGAATATCCGAATTTTGTTGTTTATGCTGCAGAGTACAGAAGATTTCCAAATTGATTTTCGGATGATGAACGTCACTCTTGCCTTTCCGATTCCGGCTTTGACATCCTCATCCCTGCCGTCTGCTAACAGTTGAGACAATGCTGCTGCGTATCCAGATAAATGAAGGAAGTGACCTTTTTCTGCTTCATATAGTCCTTTCAATTACTTTCCGCTGTCTGACTTTATGTGGCGACATGAAATGCTACACTTCTGGCCATAGCTCTACGTTAAAACTCGTTCGTTCAGTTGGACAACGATTGCCATAAAATACAAGTCAAATGATAACATGAGCTGTGGAAAGAGGTTACGTAAACACTAGGAAAAACCAAATAATTGTAAACAGTATAGTAGCGCGCTTTCGATGCATCGAAACAGAATTTTGAAAAATGCTGGCTACCGATAAAAAAGGTCAGCCAAAAGATGAAGCATTACCGTTGCAATCCATTACACAGCTAGAATAAACTGTAATATAAGCATTTCAAGAGAAAGTTTAACTAGCCCGGGGAAATAATTCACTCTCTTATTATCCAACTCCTGAAATTGAGAGGACTGTTAGTCACGCGAAACGAAAGAACAATACATCAGGAAGTTTTTGTTGCTCTGAGAAAAATGAATGTCTAAGTACACCAAAGATAACCCGTTCAAGAACTAACTTTATGCACGCTAGAGCTGCCTGCCTAACTTGTGGCTCGACAAAGTAGCGAACTGAATAAAAACTACGTGACTATATATTCACCAGATTTGTATATCTTACGACTATAATTGCCCGTCATTCTTTTCCCCTTCTGACTGACGTTTCTGTCCGGATTCAACATAGAACTTGACACCGAAGTCCAGCAGTTCGGGTTGCTACGTTCCAAATAGCACACAAAGGTAGACAAAAAAATGAGTGAGGAGAATCAATAGAGTTTTGACAAGTATAAGAGTAAAACAGAGTGAGCAATGGTCGAAAGGAATATGAGACTGAATATTACAGAGACTGAATACATCTGCGTAAGCCATTGACAACGATTTTGAGCCATGTCACCACCTATTGTCTCCAGCCATTGATTCTTAGAGTCCCGAGGGCCCCAACCTGGAAGTCTGCATCTCCCTCCCTACCTGACCCAGTTTAACTGTCAAGGATTTCATTGATTGATGAGGCCATGTTTTTGTTTGGCCACCACTTACTCGTTTCCAACCTGCACCTATATCAGCTAGTAATGCCCGTCAGGGTGAGGGAGGCGATGGTTAGGCATGCACAGCACGTGACCTAGCCATCTCAATCTATGTAACTTTATAGTCTCGTCGATTGATTTTCCCTCTTTACCCAACACTCTACGCCTAACGTCAACATTACTTACCTTATCATACCACCTAACGTGAGAAAGAGATCGCAAACATCTATGATCAAAAACAGTCAACCTTTTCATGTCTTCAGCTCGTACTGGCCATGTTTCAGAGCCATAGAGAAGGACAAAGCGAACTGCTGAGCAGTATACACGTCCCTTGGTTGATAGCCAGATGTCACGCCTACGCCCGAGATGGTGTAAGTTAGCGAAAGCAGCCAGAGCTTTTTGGATCCGTGCTGAGATTTCGTCGCCAATCAGTCCGGTGGTGCTGACTGACCACTAAACACTGATAATCTCAAAGTTATAGGTATCTTATTTATCCTTTACTATTGTACATGTGAACAGCGCAGAGAGAAAGTCATCGCATGAGATAGAAAAGCTGTGTCAATTAATCTTTATAGAAAGAATGAAGTCATCGAAAACACTACTTTCTAAAGCCATGCAAAAAAATACCTACTCAACAAGGCTACATATTCACACATTTGGTTCATTTGATAAATTTCGATATAAAAAGAAAGGCCAGATTTGCAGTTATAAGTTCTTTGAGGCATTGATTTTCCTTATTTTCAAATGACGATTTTGCATCCTTTTTAGTTTTGTTTTGTTCACCTGGAATTTTTTTCCGGATCGTTAAGAACTGTCAGCAGTCTTATATATACACATTATCAGTTTTGTTTATTCACTATAACAACGCCAGAGTCTTTATCTCAGGTGTAAGTAAACATGACGATGTTATCATTTCCATAGAGTTTCTTCAGTACTGCTGCTCTATGATTGTCAGTTAGCATCTTATGTTTTTCGGCCGGTGATGTGCGTTATTGGTTGGCTGGGTTCAAACCCTAAGCGTTAGGTGCATACTGCCGATGAGTACCATACTGGAACGAAAGAGGCTGACCAGTACACATATCCTACTGGTTTTCACTGGTCCTCTAAATGATATGAATTTTCAGTCAAACTTGAGTTAAATCAAATTCCCACAAACTAACTAATGAAAATTATATTCAAGTGTTGGTTTGTAGGAATTTGATCGGTTACAGGATTTCATCATGAGCTGACAATGGTTACAGAACCACTGGAAAACCTGTGAGTACTGGACAGCCGTTTCGTCCTAGTTTGGGACTCTTCATCAGTACGCACCCACAGGGGTTCGAACCAAGTACCCTCTGGTTCCCTACAAACCAACACTTGAATATCAATGAGATGCTCACTAGTGACTTGCTCTATTCAGGTAGATAGTTACCTGGGGTTCTAGTGAGAAGTCGTGACCAGTAGGGTACAGCAGGTCGGGTGTGAGGACAACTACTCGCCGAAGACAATGGCTAGGGGTCGCGCTATGTCGTGAATTGGCAGAAGTTATAATTCATGGGCCATTGGATCGGATCCCAGTGGTTTAATGGTCTACGAGCTCGCCTTGTAACCAGTAGGTCCTGGGTTGGAACCCCGGTGGGGGCGTGCTGGTGAAAATTCCAAACTAGGACGAAACAGCTGTCCAGTACTCCCAGGTTTTCCAACGGTTCTCTAACTAATGTCAGCTCATGATGAAATCATTAAAATTAATCTGATGCTAGTTGATAACTGCCTACAAGACTGAATCAAGTCTCCTTAGTGGCAGAATAGTCTACGAGTTTGCCTTGTAATCAGGAGGTGCTGGATTGTACCTTTGGTGGCGGGTGTGTAATGCCGATGCGTCTTAATATAAGATTAAAGAGCTGTACATTACTCTCTCGTTTTCAATGGTTTTCCTAACTGATATCAATCTATGACTGACTAGTTTCAAAATAGAACTTTGCATAGAAAGAAGTTCAGTGTTCGAATCGCCACACTTCATGTACCATAAAAAGCAACAGAAGAGAATACAAAGGAGATAATAAACAGAATTGTGAGAGAAAAGAATAGTTATATGGAAGAATAATAGAGTTTTATTGGATATGAATGTTTCTGAGCTCCTGATAACGATTTGTGCTGTAACCAATTGTCTCCAGTCGTTATTGGTTCTTACCAGTCCCGAGGACTCCAACCAGTCCGACAGCCTGTACCTCCCCACGTGGCTGGTTCAAACTAACTGTTAAAGATCTCATCGACTGATGTGATGTTTTGGTCTGACCACTACTAGCTATATTTCAACCTCATCCTATGTTGGCTAACATTGCCCGTTGTCGAGGAAGGCGATAGCTAGGCATGCGTAACACTTGTTCTACGCATCTCAATCGATGTAGCCTCACAATCTCATTGAGTAACTTTCCCTCCTTAACTAACACTCGACGTCTAAACTCAGTATTACTCACTCGTTATTATGCCACCAACATGCCAACATGGGAAATAGAAAGCAAACACCTATGATCAAAGACAGCTAGCCGGCCTTTTCTTGTCTTCCAACTTCAATGGTCATTCTCTCCACTCACCGTCATAAAGGAGGATGGAGCGAATTGCTGCTGTGCAGTCCCTCTGGTCGATAGCCCGATGGATATCACGCCTACGCCACAAATAATGTATGCTAACAAATGCCACACGAGCCTTCAGCATCTCTGTTGATATTTAGTCAGAGATCAGTCGATTAGGACTAATTATTATTATTATTATTGTTTCCCTCAATTCCTAGAAGAACATAGGGCTTCAGCTGTGCGTCTTCATTGCGTTCGGTTCTCTGCCAACGTTTTCAGACATATATCATCATCGGCGAAGTCCAGATCCTCCAAGTTTTTGTGTGAGTCCATTTTATGCCTGTTTCCTCATTGCCCGCTGTTTGTCGCATTATCCAGTCTACTGCAATCAGGAAAATCATTGGCGATAGTAGGCAGCCAGCTTTGTCTTACTCCTGTCCTCACTTCTTCGAAGGGTTCCGTAAGTTTCCCGTTGTGGATTACTTGGCATGCAGCATTGTCGTACAGCTGTTAGATGAGATGTATAATTGTCGGTGGGACCCCTTGGTAGTAGCGAAGTAGTTGCCAAAGCACCTCTCGATCGACGCGCCGCCTTAAACTGATTAAGACTGACACAACTTTTCAAATAACTAAAGTAGTCAACATGCTTTACCAGTTGACTCTGTATTTTAAGGCCAGGGAGTTGATACACTCCAGCCATGTAGCATCATCTTACATTTGACAACAGGAGCATATCGCATACCAAACATTCGAAATTTCTGTTGCTCCTCAAGGTATTCAGAAGACCTTGTCTACATTTTGCCAGTATCTTCATCTAGGACAGGGGACTATATATCATCCGCATATTCTAAGTCAACAAGACTATACCCTGGTAAAAAGTCAATCCCTGAGTTACCATGGAATAATCACCATAGCAGGTTACACACGTGGTATTCATTTTATTAGCACAACGGAAGCCAATACCTAATACGGTTAACTTCTTACTTTAAACTCGACGCCACGGTATACACCGAAGTGAACACCTCTATACTAACTCCTCTATCATCCATAGAAAAATAAGAAAAGAGAAAGAAAAGAGAGGGAGGTGTTTCAAGAAGTAAATGTTTATTGTCAGTTTATTGTTGTGACGAACAAATACTAGAATATTGACAATTTACAATGATTGAGGCTGATTCACCGGGAGAGTACACAGACACTGAGTGTTCTTAGAATCAAAATCTATTGATATATATGAATGACTTTCACATAGACCACACATTTATTATTATTATCATTATTACCAGTGACTGATAAAGTAAGCAACAGAGAAAAGCCTACCTTTTAACAGCCACTGGATTGATCATAGCAGGCTTATTGCCACCGGCACTGCCGACGCCGCCGCCTAGTTCAGAATTCAGCTGTAATGCTGTCTTTGATAATAAAACAGTAGGTGTTGTTGTTGTTGTGTTTGACGGATTTGTAGAACTCGATGAAACAAGACGCAGAGGTACTGTTGCATTAGAATGAGAAACTCGACTACCGATTATAGCTTCATTCTGCAGGATAGGCGTCCGATTGAATTGTGATGTCGTCTGAGGTGATAGAGAAGAGGCGACTGGGACAACAAGTGAATTATTCGGTGATACAGATCCTACATTCGATTGAAGTACATAGGACAGGCGAGAGGATCCAGTATCTACACACAGAGTGAGTGGAACTTTCGGACTGCTAGTGGTTGGTTTTGAGTTAGGGTTAGGATTCTGTGCCACTGAAGACGGTGTAATCCGAAAGTTTGGTCGATTCACTGTTTGTGCAGTTGATTGAAGTACAGGAGGTGACTGACAGTATTTTGTGACAGGAATTGAATTCAATTTTGGACTACAGGTGGCAGTAGCGGCAGCAGCTGGCAAACTTGCACGAGGAGTGGTGTTGGTGACAAGAGAAGTGGCAGTTATCTTAGGCGTGGTTTTAGAGACGGTAACCGGTGTTGATATATTTGAAATGTTCGGTAGAATGACAACAGGAGAATTTTGTGATGATAGGATAGAAGAATCAGAGGTGTACGAAGCGTTTGCAGAAGACACTGGATTAGAGTTTCTTCCGTTATTTGAGTTTGTCAAGTTAGCATTAGTGTTGTTGTTGTTGCTATTGCTGTTTGAAGATTTTGCAGTCGACTGGGAGGTTGAAGTGTTATTGCATAAACCACTAGAACAAAAGAAAAGAAAAGAAGAGTTTAACGAGAGGCAAAGGCACACACGCATGCAATTCAGATGAAATTAACACAAAAGTGAAAAGATGAAGGGAATCAAAAAGAAAACTTACAACCTAATAGTCAATTTAACATAGAAAATCATACGGAAAGTATGAATCTACTCAGCTGGGAAATTCTGTACACGGGACCAAAGACTGCAGAGGATGTTGACACGCCACTGTTGCACCAAGTTTAGAAGGAAGGAAGGGTACCTAATAATTGAAAGAAATGCTATTACCTTGATAAACTGCAAGAACTGGCGCCGAGTCACGCTCTTGTCCATGCCAAGCAAAATATTATAGGTCGCGTCATCCTGGGGAGGCCTTCGACAGCGTTGATCGTCAAGTAATTCTGCATTATTATGGAGTGCAATGTCACAAATCTTTATCAACCTCATTCAACAGCTGGCTATATGATAATGCAAAGTGTTAAGTGATTCACAACCAGAAAGTCAGAGAAGCCTTTGAAGCAGTAAGACAGGAGTAAGATAAGGCTTTCAGCCTACTGCTACCGATGATACTCCTAATTGTGGTGGACTGGATTATGAGGAACATGGTGCGTGGGGAGTGAGAAGACAGGAATACGCTGGATCGATAGGAAGACTTGAGAAGATTTGGATTTCAAGGACGATTTATTTCTAATGTCAGACAAACTCGAGGACTTACGGGTGGAAACTAACAAGTTGACAGAAAAAGGAGGCAGCAAAGACAGGGCTTTAAGTGAACACATAGAGGAGAAGGAAGTGATGAAGATAACCAACCACCACTATCAATGGAACAAATTTGAAAGCTGTCACTTCTCTAGTCAGCATCGATTCAAATACAGGCAGTTGTAGCACGGATGAGTACGCTAAAACCAGTCTGGATCGAAAAGGCAAGACACATATATCCATCGCTCTGAAGTCACTTTGGAACTCAGCATAAAGAACACAATTCCGATTTTCAGCACCTTCCTTCGTTTGCTCCATAATGACAATCAGAGGGCCAGAAAGTATTCGCGACAAGAAACTCTGGAAAGGAACCAATCGACAGCCTACTGCTTAACAAAATATTCGGAAGAAAATGGAGATGGGTTGAACACATGCTGCTGAGGAGGCCGTCGGATGACACCATGTACCAGGCCATTATTCGAGTGGAATCCGGATGGAAAAAGACGAGTTGGGTTTGTGTTGACATAGGGAAGACCGTGTGAAGAGGAGATGACAGCCAATGGGTGATTTTGAGGGCAACTACTGAGGGGTACTGCAGAGAACAGAACAGATTAGAGATGTACCGTCGAAGTGCTATGTTCCACTCGGCACTCGACAGAACAATAATGACAATAATAAATAATGCAGGGGAAGTCCTAATGATCTTCCCAAAAGATGTAGTCGAGATTAGCAAACAAATATGCACAGCTTTGTTGAAATCAAGCTTTCTTTCAATTGACTAGACATCTGATAGTATCATTTACTGTTATCAATAATTTCGTTGAAGGTGTCCCTCAACAAACAGACTAGACGAATCACCGTCAATGGGAGAAATACGGGGGAAGTCGTTTCTTTTACTTATCCCACCTGGACACAGTACCGTTTCAACAACAGCTAGGATGGATGACGATTTTAGGATCAGATCGAGAAAGCAAGACAGGCATTTATTACTGTGATGTCGGCATGGAGATCTACAGCAATGAGTAACAAAGGGACGACAAGAGCACCACTGGAGGACATAATGCTGGGAGTGCAGCTACACCTGACTTTTATAGTATTTGAATTCCACAGAAAAATATACAAACTAAGACAGTTGCCACGGCGTCACCAAAATCCCCGATTGTGGTAGATATATTCATGGATAGGAGAAATCCAAACGTTCAGCCCTACCCACAAAGTATGGTGAAGTATGGTGTGTAGATGACACATTCACCGTACTTACAGCACAAGACATAAACAGACTCGAAGGTAGTGTCCATTCAATTCACTCTTGAACTGGTAAGTCAGGAAGAGGAGCTTCCAATATTAAATTGTAGAGTAAAAAAGGAAAGAGGATGGCAAGTTAAACGCACTATTGTTTACAGGAAACCCACACATTCAAACCGATATTTGGATTTCCGATCATTCCACAGTGTCTTTACAAATAGGATTAGTGAAATGTTTAAGTAAAAGGGCACAAAAGCTAAGGAAAATCTAAGACAGGAAGTGAGGCATATAAGAGAAACCTTGAAACTTAATAATTACCCTGATAAATTAATAAGGAAGTATGTTGTAGGAAAATGTAAAAATGAAATCAATAGTAATGTTAATGATGACATGCATGTCAAATATGCACAGGATAATGACAACACCAACAATGGTGAATTTAAATCATCAGTAGTGTGGTGAGAGCTGTCTACTAGCCAAATCAATAGACAGTAATTTACGTCAATATTTACGTTCCCAAGATTTGTCATGAGAAAATGTGAACAAAGATTGATTCAAAACCGACCACAGCAGACTTTGCGTAGGCGGATGCAGTTAACATATAGAGGATTTGACATTCAAGAAACAGTCACAAATAGATGAAAGATTAACTTTACGTGAGAAACAACCTATCGGAAGACTGTGTTTGTTTACTTAAATATCCATAGTAATGTACATGAAAATATATAAATATGCGTTGATTTCCTTAATAAATGATCTGTTGCCTGACTCTTGCCTTCTGTCGTTACAATAGTGATGATAATAATAATATTAATGACGACATGCATGTCAAACATGCGCAAGATAATGACAACACCGACAATAAGTAGTCTAAATCATCAGTAGTACTTCCATACAAAGAAGGAATATAAGTAGCTGGCATTCAAACCCACACACTCAATTAGATATGAGCTTTGTCGGTTAAAGGATCCTGTGGGGCCCACTAAGCAAAACAACTTAGTTTATCTAATACGCTGTCTGCAATGATTGTCAAGTTGAATGCATAGGTCTGAGCAGTGGAGCTGGGGTAATCAGATTAGCGGAGCATAAAATCCTGGCACAATCTAGATTAGTTGACCAGACAAGATAAGAAATCTGGAGAATAGTTTAGCTGTAGCACCACACTACATGCAATTACACACAACACAGCCATACAATAGGATGGGATAAGGTGACAGTCTTCAAATCTAATACAACAGTGTGGAGGGACAGATTGATATCGGAAGCATTGATTATCAAATCAACTGCAAACAGGTGTAATAAGAATGACTGAATGCTTGTCCCAGACATCTGGAAAATTCTACAACCTCGTACGAGGAATAGAAAGGGATAAGGAAAACCACAAAACGAAAGTTTTGAAGTTGTGTGGTTTCAGTTGATACTGTGATTATGAACAATAGAGAATTGTATATGAGATTTTCCCGTCGATTGATTGGACCAAAGTGCTCGGTCTCAGGTTGGCATGTCGGCTTCTTGAGCAGATGCTTCGACAATGTTTGGGCATTTAAATAGAATTCAATTTGTGGATGGTAACTAGCAGTGGAATCCATGATGCGCGTTTCGTCCTATTTGAGACTCGTCACCTGGATGTACCTGCATTTCCCAGTGAGTGATGATTTTTGAGCCTCGGTGGGAACATCATCACTCACTTGGAAATGCAGGTACATCCAGGCGACGAGTCCCAAATAGGATGAAATGCACATCTTGGACTCCACTGCGAGTCACCATCCACAAATTAAATTCTAATAGAGAATTGCGTTCGAAACTTCGTCATCCAGCAGACAACACTGTTTCCCTGACTGTGTCATATATGTAATAAACGAACTAATATCAAAATACTTTAAAATCTGTTATCATTAACTAACTTATGTAGGAAATTATCCAATAACAAAGGAACTTACTGATCATTGCAAAACTTCTGGAAGATGGGTAGAGCAGACCGCCATAGAGCACTAAAAACAAGTTTTTTTTTAAAAAAAAAGGTATGCCAGTAATCATTACCACTGTTAATGAAAATATTTGATTCTGAGATTGGTTGTAAAGCGACAAGAAGAAACTAACACAACTAGGTTCAAGCAAAGACGATTCTTTTCGATAAACTCCTCGCTCGGCTTTACAATTATATTCCTATATACAAAATATTTTAAAGTACGCTATCTTTTCATCAGAACCAACCCTATTTTATGTTAGGGAGATACAGATAAACCATCTAATTTTGCCTCGTCTATCTTGTATCTATCTATCAGTGCGACTGCTGTTGAGGAGACAGTTACATGGACAGTACAATTAGGTGTGTCTATCGTCGTCTGGGATACCCTCTATCTCCATTCCTATTCAAGATGATACCACAGGACTGGACTGGCCTACATCGACTCCTAGCTTAGAAATAGGGAGTGAAGTGGTTGGTGGGGAGTGTTGATCACTTCACTTGTTTGGGGAGTTGCATCAGCCAGTGCCAAAGGGTTGATCGGTGACGAAATCTCAGCACGGATACAGAAGGCCCGGTTCGCATAAGCCAACTGACGCAATCTCTGGTGTAGACGTGTGATATCTGGCTAACTATCGACCAAAGAGCGCGTGTACTGCTCAGCAGCAGTTAACCCCGTCCTCCATTATGGCTGTCAGTGAGACCTGGCCATTGAGAGTGGAAGACATGATAAGCCTGGCTACCTGTCTTTTATCATAGGTGTTTATGTGCTACCTCTCGTATTAAGTGCTATAATAGAGTGAGCAATATTGACGTTAGGCTTGGGTCGAGTGCTAGGTGAGGACAGGAAATCAATCAACGAGACTTCGAAGTTACACCGATTGAGATAGTTAGGACATGTGTTACGCATGCAAGCCTATCCATCGCCTTCCTCGACAACGGGCAATGTTAGCTGAATGACATAGAATGGATCAGGTTGGAAAACAATTGCTGGTGGTGGTCAAACCAAAACATGGTTTCACCAGTCAATGAAATCCACGACAGCTAGTTTGATCCAGCCACTCAGGAAGGTGTAGACTGTCTAGATGGTTGGGGTCCTCGGGACGGTAGAAACTAATGATGGCTGGAGACCATTGGTGACATGGCTTCCAGTCGTTCTCAACTACTGGCACAGATGCATCCACTCCTTGTGACTTATAATACCCAATGAAACTATATTGTTCTACGTTATTACTATTCCTTTGTCTCACACCTCTGTTTGTTGTCTCTATTATGCGTTTCTTTTTACTTTCTTATCTTGCTTTGTATGCTAAATGGGGTGTGGCGACTTGAAATGCTGTACATCGGTGCATATACATATTTATATACATAGGTGCATCAGTGGCACAGCGGTAGAATTCTCGCCAACGACGCAATCCTTTACCTCGCTAAGCCAGCAGCAAGACTGGTAAGGAGGGAAGGTTAGGCATGAGGCTAGTAACCCCATCCCCTAAAAATAAATAAACATCACTGCTACCGAAACTTCAAACCTCTAGCTTGAAGCAGCCCTATGTTCCACTAGGAACGTAGAGGAATATATATGTATATATGCGCCACCTTTAACTTATATTTCCAACCCGTCTCTTAGCATCTCCTTAATCTTATCACATCTGCATTAAAACGTATTTTGTTTACTTCTTTAACAATCTAGCATTACTTAATCGAACCTTTTGTTGTTTTTTTCTTAGCCTTTATCGATAACTATGTCTACGTAAACATTTGTTTGTTTATTCGCGCTGTTTTTTTGTTATTCTTGTTATCAGGGATCACTCCACATTTTTATCTTTGTTATTGATAGAATCATTATTATTATTATGTTGTTGTTGTTATTGTCGTTTAATTATGACTAATTGCACAATTTATATGCAAAGACTTATCATCCTAAAATGACAAACCACTGTGTGTGATTGGCTTATAATTCAACACATTAATATGATAGGTTAATGTGTAATTTGCGAATTTGATTTACGGGTATTTATTTACCAGTTCAGCTCAAATACCTGGCTAGAAATCAGTTTGCGCTGAAAGTGATTCAACTCTTTGAAGTGAGTCAAACGTGTGGTGGTGGTGGTATATCGCGGATGAGCTCACCCAATCCCTCAACCCCACCATACAAGGAGTAAAACGACCGTCCACTGGTTCAGATCACATTTCAATCTGGCTAGAAAGCCGCACTACTGGCTGGATAATGAGTAGTATACAACTACAACTTATCTCTGTCAATCAATCTGTAGTATACGTGTGATCACGTTGGTTTGCACAAAAACGTCAGACATTTGTTTTAAAGATTAACTCCGGCTACCAATAACACTATCCCAAGAGACTTATTGTTCTAAACTATACTGAGTGATTGACTGACTGACTGGTTTCAACGTAGAACTACTTTGCACTGATGTGCAGCAGTTCGAGTCGCCACACTCCATGTAGCACACAAACCAAGAGAAGAAAGTAAAAATAAATGCAAAACAGAGACACCAACCAGAGATATGAAGCGAAATGAATAGTAATGTGTAAGAACAATATAGTTTTATTGGGTATTATGAGTAACAAGGAGTGGATGCATTTGCGCCAACCATTGACAACGATTTTGAGCCATATCACCAATTGTCTCTAGCTATCATTGGTTTCTACTGTCCCGAAGGATCCAACCAGCTAGGCAGTCTACATCTTCCTACGTGGCTGGATTGAACTAACTGTTGTGGATTTCATTGACTGATGAAACCATGTTTTGGTTTGACCACCACTGACTCTTTTTCAACCTGATCCATCCTATGCCAGTCAGCTAACATTGCCCATTATCGAGGAAGGCCATCGATGGCTAGGCTAGCATGCGTAATACATGTCCTAACCATATCAGTCCATGTAACTTCGAAGCCCTGTCGATTAATTTTCCCTCCTCACCTAGCACTCGACCGAAGCCTAACCTCAATATTGCTCACTCTTTTATATCACTTAACACGGAAGATAGAACGCAGACACCTGTGATCAAAGACAGCTAGCCAGGCTTTTCATGTCTTCCACTCTCAATGGCCAGGTCTCACTGACAGTCATAAAGGAGGACGGAGTTAACTGCTGCTGAGCAGTACACACGCCCTTTGGTCGACAGTCAACCAGATATCACACGTCTACACAAGAGATGGCGTATGTTGGCATATGTTAAATGAGCCTTCTGTATCCGTGCTGAGATTTCGTCGCCGATCAACCCGTTGGCGTTGGCTGATGCAAATTCCCAAATAAGTGAAGTGGTCAAGACACTCAGCCACCACTTCACTCCCTATCTCTAAACTAGCAGTCAGTGTAGTCCAGTTCTGTAATATCATCTTACATTTGACAGGAGTGAATCACATGCTGAACAGTAGAAGATTGCTTCTCCTCAAGGTGTTCAGAAGACTGCTTTATTTTGTCAGCGTCCTCACCTAGAAGGACCATATCATCTGCATATTCTAAGTTGACGAGATTATTCCGCTGTAACAAATCTATCCCCAAGTTCCCGAAGGCATTTAGGGTTAATTCCATTAGTACATCTATGGTTAAATTGAATAGAAATGGGGATAGTGGGCATCCCTGTCGGACACCACTAGTTGTCACCACTTCAGATGACAACTCGCCGTAGGCTCTCACCTGGGTGCATGAGTTCGAGTAAAGTGAGTGCCATTATCAATGCAATGTATTTTCCCGACATTCCTTTCACAGCTAAGCATCTCCAGAGTAGCTTTCGGTCGACAGAATCGAATGCCGCCTTTATGTTAAGAAATATAACGGTTGTTGGACGCCAGTAAGTATGCCTATGTTCCAGGATCTGTCGAAGGGTGAAGATTTTATCAATACACCCTCTTCCTGGTCTAAAGTCTGCCTGTTTCTCTTGTGTTTGTGCCTCCTGAGGCACCGCTCAGTTTACGCATTATTGTTGAGCCTAGAACTTTAGATTTCTAAACTATAAGAATCTAAAGAGAATTTACTGAAAAGAATATTCTTTGTTCACACCAACTTTTTAATTCATAACATGGGAATATTTCAGGCTATTGCATTAAAAGTATCTATACTAAATTATAAACCTTACCTGCAGATTATACACACAAAAGGTGGAGTGCAAACATTTTTACTTTTGAATTAACGCATGAACAATTTCTGCAGAATAAGATGGATAGTACCATCCTTTATTTCTTTCTTTGGCTTCTCATCCAGCTACGTACAGCTTAAAGAAATTATTACTAAGTTTATTAAATATTTTCATAGTAAAATTTAGAACAACACATTTAAGTGAACAATATTGTTTTCAATTACACCTCATCAGGCTTAACTCTAATATACATAACTTTACAAATAAATATTCAAATATAAACCAATCATGGTGTTTTCCCTATAGGATAATAAGATGGTGAATATAAATCGGAGGTGGGCTATCCGAGTAGTTTCACAAGGAAACATACGAAAACATCAGAGAAAACTTAAGACTATGACCGCACGTAAAGAACCTCTATTTATTAAGTTACAATTTAATGGTGACTTATCAAGTGAGATGTTATTCCAGAGATTTTCCAGAAGTATACGAAGAACGTTTTACGCTGCATACCTGTGTTTGTCACTCTTTAGCCGACGAATGATTGAGACACAAACAAAGGATAAGCTAGATAGTTTTGCCACATCTATGTGCATTTATCAGTTCAACTGCACCTGCAGTGACAGTTATGTTGGGCGTACTACTAGACAGCTTAGCCAACGTGTTAGTGAACACCTCCCATCGTGGTTTGGCAAAGGACAGACAAAAACAATCCATAGCTCAATTTTGTCACATTTAATTGATAGTGGTCATGTAGTGGAGAAAACGAGAGCCTTCACAGTAATTCATCGAATCCCACCGAATCTTTCCGATAGGCTTCGTATTCGTCTACTGCACACGGCTGAGACGATAGGCATTCGAACTATTCAGCCTAAACTATGCATTCAAAAAAAGTCCGCACAGCCATTATCCAACCCTTGTTGGCCTATTAAGACATAACCAACTAATGACTTCTCCACCACCCCTTACTTACTTATATTTTCAACCCCTCTCTTATCATCCCTTAATCTTATTACATCTTCATTAAAAACGTGTTTCATTTACTTCCCTTACAGTCTAGCATTACTTAATCGGTTCATTTGTTTTTCTTAGCCTTTATCGACTACTACATCCACCTGAACATTTGTTTGTTTAATCATACTGTTTTTCATTATTCATGTTATCACAGATTGCCTCACTTTGTGATCCTTATTACTGATAAAACCATTATTATTATTATTATCATTACTACTATTATGACTTATTGCACAATTTATATTCACCATCTTATTATCCTATAGACAAAACACCATGATTGGTTTATATTTGGATTTTTATTTGTATAGTTATGTAGGTGTATGAGAGTTAAGCCTGATGAGATCTAATTGAAACCACAATATTGTTCGCTTAAATGTGTTGTTCTAAATTCTACTAGGTTTATGTACAGAGCAATTTTAACATACTTGCAAATGGTTGCATGTAATGATAAAGGAGTTACGTAATATAGACAATAGGCGCGTAAAATGACGAGTAACTAATAAATTCGTTAATAATGTACGGAGTTCATCTCAAATCATAGAAACAAGAGATAATCAAAAATACAATATATCATAGGAGGGGGTAAGGTTAAAAGCAAAGACTACGAAATCAAATGAAAGAGAGAGAGTAAATGAAGACATTGTTACCAGTTGGGGTGACTCTAAACTTTGGGAACCCAAAACAACCTTGAGAACGGATGACCTTGATGAATGACCTTGAGCAGGTAATCATCTGACGCGCAATGGATGCTGTACATCGTTTGCGGTGCAAATTCGCTCCAGAGTTTGCTTTTGATTACTGTTTAGAGAACGGGCTGATAGCGAGATCGAAAACTTGCCAGTGCGGAGGTGTTATGCATATACAAAGATACACGAATGCATCGACGGTTATGTTTACCGTTGCAGGGAGTGCAGGTGCAGAAAATCGGTCCGAGAGGGTATGTAGTTATTTTTTAGTTTATAGATTGCTTAGATACATCTTTCGCGAAATCTCATTTACCTCTAACGAAGATTCTGGTGATGTATCACAACTGGGTTCTAAGAAGACCAGTAACAGCAACGGCATATGAGACTGAAATGTCAGAAGTTTCTGCAGTACAGTGGTACCAATACTGCAGAGACGTGGCGTCGTGGAAAATGAACAAATTGACCCAAGTACTCGGCGGAGTTGGTCTTACTGTTCATTTGGATGAGACGGTGTTAATAAAAAGGAAATATAATAGAGGGAGAATGACTTCAAATCAACAATGGGTGTTGGGCATATATGACATCACCATACAACCGGATTCATAAATCCTTTCAATAGAACTCATACTAATTCCATTGAAAGTTTCTGGAGTCATGTCAAAAAACGGATAAGATCGGTGAACGGATCAAGAAATCCAATGATTTACAGTTATCTCGACGAGTTTATGAATAGGACTTGGTTTAACATGACTTTAAAGACTCCTATGTCAAATTGGGACGTTTTTTTTGCAACATATACGAGAACGCTATCCTTTGTAACTATTTTTAACATTGCTTTACTTGTATATAAAAGATTTATTAAAATTATGCGCCGTTCATTTTAAGCCTTCTGATTGGTTAAAGTTGTCCTTGTCAAGGTCATTTGTCCGTTCGTAAGGTTATTTTCGTTTGGGTTCCTAAAGTTTAGAGTCACCCCAGTTGGGCAAGGAAAGACTGATAGCTGCTTTTTTCTGAACACCCGAATCCAGGTTCAGGCGTTTCATAGCGATTACTATTTCGGCAATTTTGAAGACCAAAATATTTTTTATACTGATAATGTTAAAGGATTTAGCTATGTCTGCCCGTGCCTGGCAATGGCACCACTGAAAGCGTTTGTTCCCTTGAGATGTAGGCTTTTTGGTACATGATCACCAAATTGGAAGTAGGCCCTTCTTTCTATTCTTTCAATGTAACAGCCCCACAGGCATATGTAAGTTGCTGTACACAGTAAGAGTCAACATGAGAAGGATATTTGTCGACTTTTGATTGCACCAAAGACCATGTTCTCCGATAAACGGAAACTATCTATCTTAACTGCAGAATAGGTTCTGGCTACTTAGGTTCCTGTAACATTATCACCTATAAAATTGAGTTGAATGAAGATAGGCCTCCCCCCCCCCCCAACTGTGATATATTTGGCATTTGAGCCTTCACATCTTCCACACTTGTTAATAATATTTCTAAGGATAATCGTTGTTTTTCAACATTTTTTAAAGAATTAGAAATTCTTCCTCTAATTTTTCTCTGTAGAGCATATTTTCCTGACTCTATAAAACAGAGTTTTAACCAGTGCTCGTTAATAGCTATTTGGACAAAAACTATTAAAATAATGCAAGTATTGTCCATTCCCGATGCAGGCTTTCGGTAAATTGACCTCTGGAGACTACCATCTTCCATGCGTTGCATGGCAATCTCAACAAAAAAAAACCAAACTTTCCATCATTTTCAAGTTCAGCGTACGTGGTTGCATAATTCAAGTAGGTAGGATGTTAAAATAAACATAATAATAATAATAATAATAATAATAATATCTTTAAAGCTGTACCGTATATGATGAGAAGCCAAACAAAATAAACATTGATGGTACCATCTTATATTCTGAACACACCTCCACTGTTCTTGCTTTATTCAAATTTTATAAAGGGGAATATTAATGCGTCTATGAAATGTGTTTTCTTTTACTTTTGAAGATAATTAACTACACATTGAAAGTGTCATGGGATAACAATTAGAATGAATGAGAAGAAGAAGAGAAGAAGAAAACAGCATTTACAACTTACGCATTTGTAATCCAACCATCAGGCCATAATTGTATTAAAGTTGGAAATAGGCGTCGAAGATAGTCTTCAGCGGAACCTTTGATATTTAACAGCTTGTAACTTTCAAGTCGGCAAAGAATAATTTTCTCAAATAACTGCCTATAAATATATAATGATGGTGAAAAAACAAAAACAAGTGCAGCAGCACAGTTAGAAGTAGACCACAGAAAGTAATAATAATAACAATAATCGCAGGGATTTGATTGGTTATAAGATTTCATTATGAACTGACAGCAGCTTGAATATCAATCTAATGCTCACTAGTGACTGGCTCTATTCAGGTAGGTAGTTACCTGGGGTTGTAGTGGAAAGTCGTGACCAGTAGGGTACAGCAGATCGGTCGTGAGGACAAATACTCGCCGAAGACATTCGCTAGTGGTCGCGCTATGTCGTGAATTGGCAGGATTTTTAGTTCATGGGCCACTGGATCGGGTCCCTGTGGTTTAATGGTCTACGAGCTTACCTGCTAACAGCTTGGGACCGGCCGATAGCTGCTACCTTAACGTGGTGGTCGGGCTTGCACATCGCGATGACCCAACAAGCTGCACTGGCTGGAACCAATGTTCCTGCAGGTCCTACTATGCCAGAAAGGTTGTTAGGATAGCGATCAGACTAAAAGCAGTTACCGGCATTGTATAAAAATCTATCTTACACTGTGCTGGGGGTCTGTGGGCGAAGTCGTACTGCTGGGGTGTAACAGCAGTGAGGTGCTTCCCTAAGATGACCAGCATGCCATGCTGTCTCTCCACTCCGGAAGGAGGGGGTTAGAAAAGGTTGACCCCAAGGATTGTACATCCCGACTTACCTTACGGTGGTCTGTAACCGGCGGTAAGTTTACTAATACGGAACCAATCCCAGAAACCAGTTCATACAGGCCGTGTGTGACCGGCCTCAAGCAGTTGTCCCCTGGGCTCTGCGGTCACGCAATACTAACCCTCTTTCTGTTTCAGGTACCCGAAGAATCAATCACCTTCCACGGTGTGGGCAGCCGGGATGTAACAACCGCCCACACACTTCCAAAAAGCTCTCCAGTACTCCCTGGATTTCCAATGGTTCTCTAACCGAAATTAATCCACGATGAAATGTTGAATAATAATAAAAATAAGAAAATTCAGATTTTCAATACAAACGTCAAGTCAGTCAGTTCTTCTATACGGATCAGAAACTTGGCGGGTCACAAAGAATATTTCCAACAGGTTACACAGACCTTTATCAACAACTGTCTTCGTCGCTCTATACTGAAGATCAGATGGCCGGAAAGAATCACCAACAAGAAACTGTGGGAACAATCAAAACAAGAACCAATCGCTCAACAAATATGCAGGAGATAGTGGAGGTGGATTGGACACACTTGCTGAGGAGGAGGCCACTGGGTGACATCGCGCGTCAGGCCAGTGCTCGAGTGGAACCCGAAAGGGAAGCGGCGAGTTGGACGTCCAAGGGTGACATGGAGGAGATCGTGTGAAAAGGAGTTGAAACAGTGTGGACTAACATGGATGCAGGTTAAAAGTACAGCAGAAGACAGAAGCAAGTGGAGACGTGTAGTTGAAGCCGTATGTTCCACTAGGAAACCTAGGGAGCAATAATATAATAATGATAAAACCTGATGCGAATTTCCCATAAAATACGTATTTGCTTAAATCGTGTCCCATAATTATAAGGAACTCTAAGTTAACTTCAAGATACAGACACACACTCCATAGAATAAAAGTTATACCTGCACTCAGAGTTCCAACGATATATTTTCTTTGGAGGTCCTGGTTTTGGTATTCGTTTGGATGAATTTCCATCGCCTGAACCATTTGCAACACCTTGACTGTCAGGGAATTCTGTACCATTATTCTGTAAATTTCTGGAAATCAACATAACCGGAAATAATATTAGCACGGTACATGATATTATTATTATTATTACTATAGAATAATAAATACAATAAGAGCACTATTTTTCAACCACTTGGACTCATCCAGTTTTTCCTTAATATGTATCAGCCTATTACTAAACAGGCAGAGTATTGAAGGTTATCAGGAGGACAAGTAGTGTGCCACTAAGTCAGTTAGCCAGATCGTTACTACTGTGGTCGACAGACACTTGAATTCATATTTTTGAGGAATAGGAGCTCCTCTTCTATGCAATCGCTGCTGGAGATTTTTCTAATGCGATGAGTTAGTGCGATGGTGAGAGCTCATTTTCGGCTCAAAGGTATCCAATTATAGAAATGCATTAGTTGCCCGTTCCATGTCGGTTTTCTGGGGATGGACCTCTTCAGTATCAGTATCTCAGCTTAAAAACTCAAGCCCGACGTCTCCTGACAAAAAAACATAGACAACAACTCAAAGAACTAAGAGACAATAAAGATTTGATAATAACACGTCCTGACAAAGGATCAGGAGTGGTCCTAATGGATAGAGATGTATATATTAACAAATTGACAACACTTATATCAGACGACAAGAAGTTCGCCAAGTCCAACAATGAGAAAAACAAGACAGATCTTCTCAGAAGAATGAAGAACGACCGTTTGATACCTGAGGACCTGTTCGATCGCCTAAAACCGACAGGATCAACCATTCCCTGACTTTACGGCTTACCAAAGGTGCAAAAACCTGGCCTGCCGCTTCGACCGATTCTAGACATGTCAGGGTCACCATACTATCCAATCGCCAAATGGTTATCCGAAGTGTTGGAGCCGGTAAGACAACATCTATGCATATACTCCCTTCGCGATACTTTTGAGTTCATTGAATGCATAAAAGATTTGAATGTAAATGATAAACGAATGTTATCACTAGATGTCGAATCTCTCTTTACCAACGTGTCACTAACAGAAACAATTTGCTTCCGGGGAAATTATATGGAGAAATCCAATATAAATGTCGGAGTACCAATATCATATCTGAAGGAATTGTTGCTGAGATGCACGCTGAATGTACAATCCACCTTCAACGGCGACATCTACAGACAGAAAGATGGAATTGCAATGGGATCTGCTCTTGGCCCGCTTTTAGCCACTTTGGAAAGCGGAGTTTTAAAATCAACAATAAACAAATTACTACTGTACAAAAGGTACGTTGACGATACCTTTATAGTCTGCTACGATAACTCGGACCTCAACTTCATCTTACAAGAATTTAATAATTCCCATCCTTCGATTAAATTCACAATGGAACTAGAAAACGACTCAAAGATTCCATTTCTGGATGTGGAATTAACTTGAAGAGATGATGGAACCCTGAAGAGGTCCATTCACAGAAAACCGAAATGGAACGGCAAACTAATGAATTCATATTGTCTGACTCTCAATACACTCTGTATTCGTAACTCTCCCAGTCTTCCATTTCATCAGAAGTCATTATAAAAGATTATATGCTCGCTCGAGCAACAACCAAGTACAAAAACTCAACGATACCCTATTTGGCCCGCTTTCTATACCATGGATATATTGTTAAGCATGCAACCTATAACGTACCAGGTAATTAGCAAAATAATTGGTTATTTTATCCTATCCTGTTCGTAGTCTATGGTGACAATATTTCAATTAACTTAAAATTTTAGCTAATTAGGTTATTGTCACTATTTCATACATATTCTGTACATTTTTGTGTTTATCATCACTGTTGACTGACTGGTTTTAACGTAGAACTTTGCACCAACGTGCAGCAGTTCCAGTTGTCACTCTCCCCCCATATAGCCCACAAAGCAAGAGAAGATAGTAAAAAGAAATGCAAAACGAAGACATCAAACAGAGATATGAGGCGAAAAGGATAGTAATATGGAAGAACAATATAGTTTTATTGGGTATTATAAGTCACAAGGAGTAGATGCATCTGCGCCAGCCATTGACAACGATTTTGAGCCATATCACCAATTGTCTTTAGCCATCGTTGGTTTCTACCGTCCCGACGACCCCAACCAGCTAGGCAGTCTACACCTTCCTACGTGACTTAAAGTAACTGTTATGGATTTCATTGACTGATGAAACCATGTTTTGGTTTGACCACTACTAGCTCTTTTCCAACCTGATCCTATGTCAGTCAGTTAACATTGCCCGTTGTCGAGGAAGGCGATGGCTAGGCTATTTAACGTACACTTTATATTCAACAACGATATCTACAGACAGAAAGATGAGATTGCCATGGGCTCACCCCTCGACCCACTTATGGCAGACTGCTTTATGGTCAGCTTGGAAAATAGGATCTTAAAATTCACAATGGACAAATTACGGCTGTACAAAAGGTACGTCGATGACATTTATAGTTTTTCATGATGATTCTGATTTAAATCATACCCTAGATGAGTTTAACAATCGCCATCCTTCAATTACATTCACAATGGAAGTTGAAAATGAATCAAAGATTCCACTGCTGGACGTCGAATTGACAAGAGATGCTGGAACTCTGTAAAGATCTATCTACAGAAAGCCATCATAGAATGGCCAGTTGATAAACTTCTACAGTCGGATACCTATCAGTCAAAAGAAGGTTACCATCATCTCACTGGCCCACCGTACCAGAAGAATTTGCAGCAGTGACTGCTTAGAAGAAGAGCTTCTATTTCTCAAAAACATCCTAACTCAAAATGGATAACCAACGCGTTTCGAGGAGAAGAACATGAAACCAAAGCCAAAAAGGGAAGAATGCACTTCAGTCCCAAAGAAAACACTATATGTGAATCTGAAATTCCGGAGAGATCTTGCAGCAGATATCCTTAAAAGGAGAATCTCCAGTTCCTTATAGAAGTCCTTCCCTGAAACAACTCTAAGAGTGATATTCTCCAGCCGCCCACTGCTTCGGAGCAGTGTGAAGGACAAACTTTCGCATATGACCACTTCAATGTGCACATATCAGTTCACTTGCTGGTGTGGAGCTAGGTACATAGGTCGTTCTATGCGGGTCCTATCAAAACATGTTAGAGAGCATTACTCAGCATAGCTGCAAAGAGAAGGTACTGGTCCAATCAGAAGCGCCATAATTAAACAACTCATCAATACCTGTCACAGAATCTCAACTCAATCAACATTCAGAGTCATTTACAAAGTAAACAAAAATCTACCGCCAAAGGCAGTATGTTTCCGACTTCTTTGTACTGCAGTAGCCCTCGTCATATACACCGAAAAACCGGAGGTGTGTATTCAAAAGAAACTGGTTCAACCTCTACATTTACCATAGATTTAGTTCGGTTTGTCTCCTTAGGTCCCATTGTTTCATCCCCTTTATTTTCCTTTTCAGTTTTTAAAACACTATTCTTTCAACTTGTTCCCATGTTCATCCCATTCACATCACCTTGAACTTCCATATCAAGTTGAGATTAAAATTAATTCTCCAGTTATAAAAATATTAATTTTACATTCATTATTACTTCTTTCTAATCCTATGTAATCTTTTCTCTAAGCCCCTTGTTGTAATCTATATTCACATCTTCAAACTTTCATGTCAAGTTGAAAATTATTATGATTCTTAATCGCCTTCGTTACTACGTGGAATTAAATAATAATTGTATCTATGTGTAAACTTATGCATATAAATGTAATTGTATAGTTTTTGAGAGTGAAATCGCCGAAAAGATAAACATCTTTGCTGAACTTTTTGCTCTTTCCCCTCAAAATTATTATTATTATTATATTAAGATAGCAAAGAAAGCACGCCAGATGTTTTAAGCTACGTGTATTACTATGCATGAGTGACAGCTGTACTACTACTAAGCTGCTACCAGGTGAGCTTGACATAATAGATAAGTTCGGAGACTTTATGAAGTATCCTATATGCATACAATCAAACTTGATTATAATTTGTAGGATAATCAGACCACCCAACCATCAGCCAATTGGTGTCCCCACCCAGCCAACTTCATACGTAAGCAACTAGATGACCCCGTAAGAAAAAAGTATGCATCACAGATTTGTGCACGCAACATCGTTGCCTTCTGAAGTGATGACAACCAGTGGTGTCTGTTAGGTACGCCCACTATCCTCATTTCTGTTAAATTTCGTCATTGGTGTATGGATGGAACTAACCCTAACTGACTTCAGGGACTTGGAGATTAATTTTCTATAAATTTTGAAATTTATTTTATGTCTCACAGTGTTATACAATAACATTCACTGATGACGTTTCGAGCACAATTTGTTACTGCTCATGATCGTATCAAGGTAATTACACAACTTTCTAACTTCGTTTAATATAATTCCATTATTATATAATTGGAGGCAATCGGCAGGAAGCCTTGAACCTAGGTTTCGTGCTAGTTGGCACTCATCAGCAAGGCCTATCTGCAATCTTGAAGGAACTCATGTCCCTTCTGAGATTCGAACCCGCGTCACCCAGTGAGTACTGCAGTCAGAGACGTTACCACTGGGTCTTGATGATGAGTGCCAACTAGCACGAAACCTAGGTCAAAGGCTTCCTGCCGATTGCCTCCAACTATATAATATCAAATCAATGTGCACCGTGATGGCGAGCTACCTAGAATGGTGGCCACATTGCAAATACCTGACTGATAGAATTCAGTCTGCACCAAAGAAAGACTAGATACGTCACACTAGTTACTAGTGTCCAATCAAAATAATTCCATCATTTCAATTCATTGCTTGACTTGATTGGTACTAGTGTGGTGAGAGCTGTCTACTAGCCAAATTGGTAGGCAGTAATTTACGTCAATATTTACGTTCCCAAGATTTGTCGTGAGAAAATGTGAACAAAGATTGATTCAAAACCGACCACAGCAGACTTTGCGTAGGCGGATGCAGTTAACATATAGAGGATTTGACATTCAAGAAACAGTCACAAAGAGATGAAAGATTAACTTTACGTGAGAAACAACCAATCGGAAGACTGTTTGTTTGCTTAAATATCCATAGTAATGTACATGCAAATATATAAATATGCGTTGATTTCCTTAATAAATGATCTGTTGCCTGACTCTTGCCTTCTGTTGTTACACTAGTAGTAGTATTTTGCATATTTCCGGTATGAGTGATGAGTCATTGCATCCTATTGCATGTGTTAGGTGCAGACTCGATGATCCAGGCAGGATTCATTAATCAACTTCTCTCTCTCTCTCCGCCTACCTATATTACTTTTTAGAATTCTAACTCTCTCACACCCTATTGTGTGGTTTGTGTTAATGCATGTAGTGCGATTGCTGAACTTTTTCATAAATTACTTATCATCTTGGGGTCAACCATTCTTACCTTAGCCACTCTAGGATTCTTAATAAAGCATTTAAACATACAAACTCACTCAGGTCGGACAAGCTCTGTAGGTTAAACGACCCTGTCGGTTGACCCAAATAATATAATTTACAAAATAACCTGCAATGACTGTGAGCGAGGTCAACTACATAGGTCAAACTAGTAGGTCAGGGGTAGTCAGATTGTCAGAACATAAGAATTCAGCTAAGGTAAAAATGGTTGACCCCGAGAAGATAAGTGATTTAGAAAAAAGCTCAGCAACTGCACTACATGCATTAAAACACAACCACACAATAGGGTGGGAGAGAGTTAGAATTCTAAAAAGTAATATAGGTAGGTGGAGAGAGAGAAGATTGATTACTGAATCCTTGTTTATCGAATCTACACCCAACACGTGCAATAGGAATGACTCATCACCCATACCGGAAATATGCAAAATACTACTACCAACCAAATCAAGTGATGGAAAATAATGGAATTATATAAACGAAGTTAGAAAGTTGTGTAATTACCTTGATACAATCATGAGCAGTAATAAATTGTGCTCAAAACGTGGTCATTAGTAAATATAACACTGTGAGACTTAATCAAAATAAATTTTACCTATAATGGAATAGTCTTGTTGACTTAGAACATGCCGATGAAATTATCCTCCCTCCTGGATGAAGATACTGACGAAATGCAGACAAGGTCTTGTGAATACCTTGAGGACCAACAGAAATTTCGAATGTTTGGTATGCGATTTGCTCCTGCTGTCAAATGTAAGATGATGCTACAAGGCTGGAGTGTATCAACTCCCTGGCCTTAAAATACAAAGTCAACTGGTAAAGCATGTTGACCACTTTAGTTATTTCGAAAGTTGCATCACTCCTAATTGGCTGGTCTCTGACTGAAGATCAACACAGATACAGAAAGCTCGTTTGGCATTTTTCAGCATACATCATCTCTTACGTAGATGTGATATCGTAGTTGGCTATCGATCAAGGGATGCGTGTACTGCTCAGCAGTTCATTTCGTCCTCCTTTACGGCTGTGAGTGAGACATAGTCACTGGAAGTGGATGACATGAAAAGACTAGCAGTCTTTGATCAGAAGTGTCTACATCCTAACTCCCATGTCTAAAAAAAGGTTGACTGTTTTGATCATAGATGTCTACGATCTCTTTCTCACGTTAGGTGGTATAATAAGGTAAGTAATGTTGACGTTAGGCGTAGAGTGTTGGGCAAAGAGGGAAAATCAATCGACGAGGCTATAAAGTTACATAGATTGCGATGGCTAGGTCACGTGCTGCGCATGCCTAGCCATCGCCTCCCCCAACCTGACGGGCATTACTAGCTGATATAGGTGCAGGTTGGAAAAGAGTAAGTGGTGACATGCCAAACAAAAACATGGCCTCATCAATCCATGAAATCCCTGACAGTTAAACTGACTCAGGTAGGGAGATGCAGACTTCCGGGTTGGGGCCAGCCTTCGGGACTCTAAGAATCAATGGCTGAAGACAATAGGTGACATGGCTCAAAATCACTGTCAATGGCTTACGCAGATGTATTCAGTCTCTGTAATCTTTCATATTCCTTTCTACCATTCCTCATTCTGTTTCACTCTTATACTTGTCAAACCTCTATTGATTCTCTTTATTCATCTTCTTGTCTACCTTTTTGTGCTATTTGGAACGTGGCAACTCGAACTCCTGGACTTCGGTGCCAAGTTCTATGTTGAATCCAGACAGACATGTCAGGTGGTGATTTGATACTTTTTTATTCCTTTATTTTTGGAGTGGAACACAGGGCGACAAGCTAGAGCTTTGGAATTTCGGTACCAGTGGTGTTTTTATTTTTACGGGATGGAGTTGCTAGCCTCACACCCAACCTTCCCTATTTACCAATCTTATTACTGGCTTAGCAAGGTAAAGGAGTGCGTCGGCCGGGGATCGAACCCCGAACCATCTGCGTCGTTAGCGAGCATTCTACCGCTGTGCCACCGACGCACAAGTGGTATGATAGGGTGAGTTATAATGAGGTTAGGCGTTGAGTGTTAGGTAAGGAGGGAAAATCAATCGATGAGGTTGTGAAGCTATATCGACTGAAATGGTTAGGACACGCATTGTGCCATGCATGTCTAGCCATAGACTTCCTCGACAACGGGCAATGTTAGCTGACTGACATAGGATGGATCAGGTTGGAAAACAAGAGCTAGTAATGGTCAAACCAAAACATGGTTTCATCAGTCAATAAAATCCACCACAGTTAGCTTGAGCAAGCCAAATAAGGAGCGGTGTGGACTTCCTGACTGTGTGGGGTTGGTAAGTGTGGGATGGTAAGAACCAATAGTTGCAGACAATTGGTGATATGGTTCGAAATCGTTCTGAATGGCTCAGAGGCATTCATTCTTTATGATTTGCCATATTCAATAAAAGCCTATCGTTGTTTTCCATGTAACTATTCTTTCTCCCTCTCTCACATTTCTGCCTATTATCGGTCTTTCGAGTCTCTTTTGTGTGCTACATGGAACTCGAACTGTTGCACTTTTGTGTGGAAACCAGTCAGTCAGCATGCAACACCTATTCTGGATAGCTGAGTTAACACCTACCTCCTAGATGTTACTCAGTGTTCTCCGGGCTTTGAAAATTGATAGTGAACGATTTTATCACCAAAACTGGTATGATTCAGCACGAAATTCAATAAGGTTTCTCTCTTTGGCTGTCTCTCTCTCTCCTCTATGTCTCAAGAGGGAAATATGAAGTAGGCGCTTACAATTTCCAACTGTATTCATCAATCTTATCTTGACTGAGATAATCAAAGACTAAAAGATTAATAATAATAATAATAATAATAATAATAATAACTTACTCTGTTTGCCAAGCTTTAACACGTTCTAAGTGGACCTCTTTATCTCTTGTATAACTTTCGATAATTGGAGGCATAGACGATGAAATAGCTAGAAAGAGAAGAAAACGATGAAGGGTATAAACACCATTGTATCAGAGGTACTAAAGAACAATACAATATTATAGTGAAAGTCAGTCTGTCATCAAACATGTAACACCCTCTCTCTGTCTCTCTGTACAGTAGCTCAGTATGCACAGCATGTCATAACAACTATCCCCTCTCCTACGCTTACCGACCGTAGTGGCACACACGTCCACTGCGATCTCTGGATTCAGTTTTTAGTACTTCTGTGGGGATTTCATCTAGTCTTGCTGCTTTCCCAGCAAGCTCTTAGTAACTTAATGGCTTTCAAGACATCTGATTTTGTCGGTGGGGTTAGTGGTGGCGTTTCTGAGCGAGCTGCATGTGGTGATCAACTCGATGAAGTCCTATGAAGTTTCCGCTGTTGCATGTCTTTGTTAATTGGATTTCCGTTATTTTCTTTTACTCGGTTTGTTTGTGTTGATTTTTTTCCCGGATAGCGATCTGGTTATCTGGTATACAGTGATCTGAAGTCCCTCTTGCCTGCAGCGTATGCTGCTTCAGCTTCCAGTGAAGTGTACCGTAGAACTGTCGTCTGGCTTCCCAATACTCTTGTTCTCCCCTTTATCCAGTGCTTCTCCTTTCGTTGTTCATCTCTGCACTGGCTTATCTTCTGTGTCACCTCATCTTTTTCTCCTCTATCTACTTCCAGGTGTTCGTATAATTACTGTACCTGTTGTTTCATTCTGTACTCTCATTTACAATCCACAATAAAATAACCACGATAAGATATTCAAGCATAGAGCTTGACTTATTCCGAAAATGTTACCATCTGGCAAGCTGTGACTTCCTCAATGATTACACATTAAGTATTTGCTATATGTACCACTGATATTCCGATCGGTCGGTCGGTTTTCGACATAGAACTTTGCACCGATGTGCGGCAGTTCAAGTCGCCACACTCCCTCCTTGTAGCACACAAAGCAAGAGAAGAAAGTAGGAGAAATGCATATTAGAGAAAGTAAACAGGAATAGTAATAAGGAAGAACAAAACCAGATTAATTGGAAATCCTAAGTCACAAGGAGTGGATGCATCTGCGCCAGCCATTGAGAACGATTTTGAGCCATATCACCAATTGTTTCCAACCATTGGTTTCTACCTTCCCGAGGACCTCAATCAGGAAGTCTACACCTTCCTACGTGACCGGCTTAAACTAACTGTTGTGGATTTCATTGACTAATGCTATGTTTTGATTTGACCGCCACTAGCTAGCTCTTTTCCAGCCTGACCCTATATCAGCTAACATTGCCCGTAGAGTAAGGCGATGACTAGGCATATGTAACACATGTCGTGACCATCTCAGTCAATGTAATTTCACAGTCTCGTCGACTGATTCCCCCACCTTACCTAGCACTCGACGCCTAACCTCAATATTACTCACCTTATTATACCACTTCACACGGGAGATAGAACGTAGACACCTATGATCGAAGACAGCGAATCTTTTCATGTCTTCCACTCTCAAAGGCCAAGTCTCACAGCCATAGAGGAGGACGGAGAGGCGGCGTAAACTGGCATATGCGAAACTAGCCCTCTGTATTCGTGCTGAGATTTCGTCGGAGATCAACTCGTTGGCACTGGCTGATGGTACTTCCCAAGTAAGTGAAGCGGTCAACGTGCTCTACCACTTCACTTCCTGAACTGGATTATGCGGAACAACGTGCGTGGGGAGCGAGAAGACGGGAATACGTTGGACCACCGATAAGAAAACCAGGACTTCGAGAACAATTTATGTCCAATGTCATAGAAATGAGAAGACTTACAGGCGAAAACCAACACATTGGGAGAAGAAGAAGCTACAAAGACAGGACTTCAAGTGAACATAGAGAAGATGGAGGTGATGAAGATAACCAATCAATCAACAACTACACCAACGATAACAAGTACCAATCACTATCAAAGGGGAGGAACTTCACAAAAGAGGTCACTTCCTTCACTTATCTAGGAGGCATCGTCTCAACTATTGGCGCTCGATACGGATGAGGATTTCAAAATCAGCCAAGATAGGAAAGGCAAAAGCACATCTTGATCACCCTGAAATCAATTTGAAAGTCGTCTTCACTCCGTGGCATAAACAACAAAATTCGAATTTTGAGCACCAAAGTCAATTCAGTCAGTTATTCTATATGGGGTGAGAAACTTCGGGAGAGAGAGCGTCATAAAAAGCATTTCCAACAACCAGCTGCAGACTTTTATCAACAGATGCCTTTGCTGGCTCCATACTGAAGAGCAGATGGCAAGCCAGAAAGAATTATTAACAAGAAACTATGGGAACGAACGAATCAAGAACCGATTGATCCACGAATACTCCACAAAAAATGGAGATGGATGGGTGGATGGACATACTCTAAGGAAACCGTTGGGTGACATCTCACGCCACGCCGTCGCTCCAGTGAGACTCAAGTGGAAAACGACTAGTTGGGCGTCGGTTCAAAGGTGACACAGAAGAGATCATGTGAGGAGGAGACGAGACACTATGAGCAATCGTGGGACCAGCTGAGAAGGACTGTAGAGAATAGGACAAAACGGAGGCGTGTTGTTGAATCCCCATGTTCCAATCGAAACCCAAGGGAATACTTATGATAGTAACACACTACAGTTTCAAGAGTTTGAAGGTGAGTGGAACACAGCTTATTCTTATTATTTAGAAAATATACAACCTCTGTATGTAAAACTAATTAACCAACGAACTAAACATGAATTTACTCAGTTTAATCACCTACCTTCTCCAAGTGAGTCTAACAATGGATTCATTCTTTCTTCTTGTTTGTCTTCTCTTAACTTTTTGAGTCTGCGCATTACAGCTTTATGCTTCAATTGTAAGTGACTTTCCAAATAGTTGAACACTTCTGATCTAACAGACTGATTCAACATTAATTCTTTTAATTTTGTATCCAACCTAAAATAGGATAGATAGATAGGCAAACAATTTCAACACATTACAAAGAATAACAAAGAGTTGGGCATGTAGAACAGATGTTTGTCGAAATTTAATTAACGCAGTAAAGATTTCCTTTGCTGATGTACCTAGCAGCACCAAAAAGCCTGAGTTTTGAGTATTAGAGTTACGAACATAGCCCGCTTACCACTAATACGATGAATAACGGGTTAGGTGTGAGAGTATACGCCGTTAAGCTCACCATGGAGTAGCAGTGGATCAACAGATCTTAACCCCCTCTCCCCGGTATCCGGTACCTAGATTTAGTGGTCAATGCTTGCATATCTCAACCATCCAACGAGATGCGCTGGCCCAAATGAATGTTTCTGCAAGTCTTATCATGCCAGAAAGGCTGTTTGGATAGGGGTTTGACTATAAGCAGTTTCGGTCGGTCAGTCGGTTACTACCCTTATGTAAGTCGACCAAACTAAGTTACGGATCTGGAGGCAAAGTGGCGCTGCCGGCGAATAGGGATTTAACAACAGTAAGGTTTTTCCCTTAGGTGACGAGAAAGCTGCCTCTCTGCTTCAGAGACGAAAAGGGGGTTAGCAAAGGTTGACCCCGAAAATTGTACATCCCAACTTACCTTGCTGCGGTAGGACCCTCATACGGACAGAAACCCTAAATATCAATTTAGACAGGCGGTGTGTGACCGGTTTCAAGCAATTGTATCCTGGGCTCTGCTGTCATACAACACTAATGCTTTGTCCGTTCCTGCTAATGCCCTGCTAATCTTCATCCACCTTCATGTTCTTGTCTTTCTTTCACTATTAATACTAT